AATTATTTCTATAATCTTTACTTTTCCAAAGTATATAAATTTAATCTTTTAAAGTAATTAAAGATTCTATATCATCACTATATTAATTATCATCACTATCTTCATCATAGTCATATTATTCAAAGTATTTATTTTATTAATTAGTAATATTCATTTTTTAAAGTATAGTAGCTTTATTATAAATTTATTTTTAATTGCTTAAATAAAAATCTAAAATAATAAAAAAAAAAAATAATTAAAGGTATGAATACATATTTTTTTGTAAAAATATTAGAAAATATATTAATTAAATATATAAATATTATTTAAGCAAAAATAATAATTAATAAAAAAATATTTTATTTTTATTTTTATATGTACAAATCAAATAATATTATAATTATTTAAAAAAATAAATAAAAATTATATTTTAAATATTCTTATAATTTATTTATATTTTTTAAAAAAATTTGTTTTAACAAAAATCTTCATATTTAGTATTAAAAAAATAATATATATTTTCATTCTAAATATATTAATAAAAAAATAAATAATATTAATTATTATATATATTAATATTATAGAAATTACTATTATTATTATTATTATTATTATTATTATTTTTATATATATTATTATTATTATTGTTATTATTATAATTTTGATATAGATATATAATATATATTTAAAAATATATATTTTATTAACACATTTATTTTAAATATATATATATATATATATAAATATATTTTTATATTTATATTTATATTTATATTTATATTTATATTTATATTTATATCTATTTTATACACATTATAAATAATTTAAAAAAAAAAATTTAAAGATTATTATTTTAATTTAAAATATAAATTATTAGAATTTAATAAAGTAATATTATTATATTCAATCAAATTAGATTTAATTAATATTTAATAAATATTCTTCTAATTTTTATTAAATTTCCTAAAAATTTAAGTTATATATTTATTTTTCAATTTCATCTCTATCAAAATTGTTAAGATTATTATTTAATAGCATCTATTTTTTAAATTAAAATTATTAAATATATTTTTAATTTCATATTTTAAATACCTTTATATTATTCAAAACTGATTATATAAATAATTTTTCATTTTTAATTAATTAAATGTCTTAATCATTATTATTTTATATAGCTTTTAAAGTAAAACTCTACAAATATTTAAACAATAAGATTACAGAATTACAAATTTGAATTATAATATAGATATTTTCATCTTAAGAAATAACACTCAATAAGTTATCATCATAAATTTTCATTATATCTATAATAGAATATTTTAATTAATTAACTAAAAGAAATGGTATCCAAACACAAGAATCTAAAATGTTATCATAATTAGAATTATCTGATAATATTATATTAAATTCTTTTAAAATATATTTTCTTTATTAATAAATATTAACATTAATAGTTTCACAAAACATTATTATTAATTTACAATCAAAATAATTTTCTTTATCATTTAATTATTCATAAAGATAAATAAGCTATTTTATCAAGTAAATAATTTTTAATAAAATAAATTTAAAAATATATTTATTCTTACTTTATTTTGAATATTTTTAGGCCATTAATATTTTTCTAATGCATTATCTCTACTTATTCTTTCTATCATACTTTGATATATTTACGCAAGTCTTTATTTTTTAATAAATATTTTGTTTAAATCCATTAATATTAAATCATATTCAATTAAGTTTAATGGTTTTATAAAATAATCAATTAAATTTTGTTCAGTAATTCTTTCAAAATAAAGCCTATTCAAATATTATTACTCAAAATCATCTTAATATTAAATAAATTGTTTTTTTAAGTTTTTATCATTAAGGTTTTTATTTTTCAAAACAAGTAGATTCAAATAAATATTGTTTTATATTTTTAAAAATTTTATTTGTTTCTATAAAATAGAATAATCATAATTAAGCTATTGTTTTTCCTATTGATTTAAAACTTATAGAAAAAATAAAAAATTAATTTAAATATTTATATAAAGTAAATTAATTTTACGATCATCTTTTAAAATTTAATCTAAATTAAATAATCCTAATTCAGTATAAGTAATTCTTTCATTTAAATTTAATATATCCTCTTATTAGTTCTTAAAGTTTGAAATTTTATAAGCTAATTGATATGTTTATTTATAATCTTTATTAATTTCAAAATACTCGTATAAAATTTTTAGGCAAAGTAAACTTGTAAACTAATATTTTTACAAAATAGATAAAGTATGTTAACTTTTTAATTCTAAAATTAATTATTTTTATTTTAATCTAAAAAGTAATAAAATTATCTAAGCATGTAACTGTTTTATTATATTATATTTTTTTTTTTTAAAAAAAAAAAAAAAAATTACAATTATAAAATCATATTTTTAACATTTTAAAACTATATCTTAAACTAGTTTAAAATTTTTATTTATATTATTTTCTATAATTTCACAAAGTTTTTAAATAGCAAATTCTCTTTATACAATAAATAATTAAATGAAAGATTACTAAGTACTTTATTTATTACTTTTATTTTATATAAAATCAATTGCTTTTTGATTAAACTTAAAATATTCAAGAATAAATTCTGCAAAAAAATTAAGTGCATCGAGTTTTTCATAAAATTAATAAATCTTATCAGCATATTAACATGAAATTTATGAAACATTATCAATTATAACATTATTGGCTTAAGAAAGTTAATCGATTTCGATTTTATTATTTTCCTTTAAATTAGCATAAATTTTTTCATTTAAATTCAAATTTAAATCCTCTAAGGTAAAAATAGATGGGAAATTTTATAAGTAGTAATTATTATTCTAAAAATTTTTATTTTATTTAATAATTTCAAATATATATTCCTTAATATTTTTACTGCAATCTTTATTTTCGAAAAATCTTCTGAATGTAAAATCCAGCAAAAAATGAGAAAAATTCTCAATGTAATTATTTTGCACAAAAACTAACAATTTTAAAACTTATATAATTTTTTCAGTAAAAAAAACAATTTTTTTTTCTAATTATAAACATTATTAATCTTCTGAAAAACTATTATTTTAAACCCAAAATTTAAATTAAGAAATTCTATTAACTAAAATATCCATTTCTTCATTACTCAAAAGCCAAAAAGCATAATTATTATCATTTTTTGGAGAACTTTTATTTAGCAATTCTCGATTCCATATAGGCCTTATTAATCTTGATAGATATAAAAGCATTCCTTCTATTTTAGCATTTAGTTTTTATCTTTTATATAAGCCATAATTATTATCAAAAATATTTAACTATTACTATTACTATTACTATTACTATTACTATTACTATTACTATTACTATTACTATTACTATTACTATTACTATTACTATTACTATTACTATTACTATTACTATTACTATTACTATTACTATTACTATTACTATTACTATTACTATTACTATTACTATTACTATTACTATTACTATTACTATTACTATTACTATTACTATTACTATTACTATTACTATTACTATTACTATAACTATTACTATTACTATTACTATTAATATTAATATTGCTCTTACTATTAATATTGTTATTAATATAGCTATTACTATTAATATTACTATTACTATAAATAATGCTATTACTATTAAAATTACTATTACTCTTGCTCTTACTCAAATTATTATTATTACTATTACTCATACTCTAAATATTACTTTTACTCTAACTATTACTATTAATTTTACTATTGCTATTAATATTACTATTATTTTTACTATTATTCTTACTCTTACTATTACTCTTACTCTTATTCTTATTATTATTCTTACTCTTACTCTTACTATTAATATTACTGTTACTATTAATCTTACTATTCTTATTATTATTATTATTATTATTATTATTATTATTATTATTATTATTATTATTTTTAATATTAATATTAGTGTTATATATTTATTTTTTTCCTTTATTAAGGAAACAATTTTTTTTACTCATCAATTTATATAGAACCATATTTCTAATAAAAAAATTAAGCTTTTTTTAAAATTTTACCATCTATTTCCATAATCTTTGTTTCATTTAATTAAATTTTTTTTTTTTTATATATAATTTAATTATTTTTAGATGTAGATTATTGTTAATTTATTTTGTTTTATTATTTTTAAAAAGATTCTATATTATTCAAATAATTTTCATATTATTCTTATAAATTTTAATGAACTTACAAGGACCACTAAATAAATAAAATAAAATAAAATAATTTTCCTATATATATATTGCTTTTTTTTTACATAGTACTTTTATTCTCCATTACATAATATCTAAGAAAAAATTGCAAAAGTTTCTGTTAATCCATAATTTATTATAAATTATTCAAAAAATAAAAAAGATGCTTAAAAATTATTCTATGAATTTACTTCTATAATTATATTTTCAGGAATTATGGCTAATATCTAATATAAAATATCAATAGGCCGTTATTTATAACTGATAATTAATTCCTAATTTGTTAAAAACACAAAATGTTAAGGTTATAAATAACACTACTTTTACAAATCACTCAAATACTTATATTATAATTCGCCATATTTTTAATTATTAGATTAATATTCATTATATAATAATTGTCTTTGTTCTTTTTATAATAATAACTCTTCTTTTAATTAAAAAGCTAGTAAATATTTAGATACGCAAAAATCTATTTCAGATATACTTTCGGAAGATATTTATTAATTAGAAACATATCCTTAAAACATTTAATCGCTTTAGAAAAAATCTTCTTTTTAACTATCTTTAATAGTTTCACAAGTTGAAATATATAAAAATTAACTTTTATTCTCATATTATTTAGAAACAAAAATATTATTTTTGGAAAGAAAAGCATTCTAAACTTCACTTATTTATAAATTCTACTTATAATTAAAAATAAGTTCCTGTATAATTTTTTAAAAAATATTTAAGTTATTAAATAATTATTATATTATAATATATATATATATATATATATAAATATATATATATATATATATATATATATGAATAATATTTATTATTATTACATTTGAAAATAAAAGCATGTTTTCCTATTTATAATACTATTAATAAAATTCATTTAAACCTTTAGTGAATTTAATTTTAAATTAAATTTTATTACTATTCAAAATGTTAATTTCAAAATAATTTCTTATACCATTTTTTAAAATAGTCATAAAATGAATATTTTTACTTTCTTATTCTTCAAAGCATTAGAAAGAAACAACCAGAAAATTTTAAAGATTATTATCTAAATAATTTTATTCCTATTTTTTTAATATTTAATAATATTCATCATCTGATAAGCTTCCTAAGAAATTCACATTATCATTCTAAATATCATATATATCAATTCTTTAAGAAATATCTTTTTTTTTTCCGAAAAAAAAATTTTCGCCTTTAAAAATACTTTTTCTATTGTCTATACTTACAAGGGAATATAATAAATTTCTAGAATTATCAATATTTAATTAAACAACTTCTTAATTTTTAACTAAGTAATTCCAATATTATCTAAATTTTATATTTTTTTTTATATTTATTTTTTATAAATTAAAATCAATTTTCTTTATAATTCCTGTATTTCCTCCTACATATAAATCTCCTTTACTACTAAACTACATCGTATTTATAAATTCATGATTTGTGAATGCATTTAAATTTATATCATCGATTATTATTTAATTTTTTTAATTAAAATATATATATTTTAAACGAATTTCTGTTCTAAATGATATTGCTAATATATCTTTAATACCATTTTATTAAAATATTATGTTCTTTGGTTATCCATAACATAAATGTGTAATCTTATCTTCTAAAGTAAATTAAAAAGCCTATGATTATTCGTCTTTTTATTAATAAAAATTCCAAAGAAACAACTATTCATCGATAGAGATCCATATTAAATTTAATTCTTCAATAAAGCCCTTTTATAATTTATTTATTTATATAATATTTTATAAATAAATTAGTTTTTGTAATATGTTTTATTAATTTTAATTTTTAAATCATGTTACTTTTTGAATAAATAGAGCTTTATCTTTATTGTCTTGGTAATATTATTAAATATTTGTTGGATATTATAATTTTCTTATTAAATTCAAGTTATTTCCGGATAATAAATAATAATCTAATATATATGTATAAAAAAAATCATATTCGAAAACATATTTTTTTTAAAAAAAAATAAAAAATTATATTACTATTTTATGCAATATTTTCAACATCATTGCCTATTTCGTCTTATTTTAAAAATTAATTTATTAAATAGGAAATTTCTTTTTAGGATTAATTTTCTTATTCTAATTTTTCTTAATAAGCAAATGCTTATTATATTTCTTTTTCTAAATGCTTTTCTTTTAATTTAGAAACTTATTATTGATAATCCTATTTTTGCAGGTTTACTAAAATAATTGTTTCATCTAAATATTTTTCAGTTTCTTATTGCTATTTGTAACCTTTTAATATATTTGAAATACGCAAATTATCTCTTCTAGTTTATTACTATTATATATTTTGCTCAATTTTTATTTATTATTATTCTTATTATTGTTCTTATTTTTACTCGGAATTTTTATTAAAGAAATTGTCAAAACTTTACCTAAGTCTTTTTTATAAAATCATATTTATTTTTAAATATTTTTTTATTTATTTATTTTTAAAAATTTTTTTTGACTTCTTATATTTATTTAATTATTAATAATTTACATATTGATTATTAAAAATAATATATATATATATAAGTATTTTTATTTAAATTAATAAAAAATATATATTATTTTAAAATAATATAAATAAATGTATTTTTTTCAATAAATTTTAATTATTGTAATTAAATATATATTTTTATATATAAAAATCAATCTTTATGAAACAAGAAATAAAAAACTAAAACGCAAAACCCAATAATAGTAGCCCAAGTGCTTATATAATAAGGATAAGCCTATTCTAAATATCTTGGATATTCATTATGTTTAAAAGGTCTAACAGTAACCTTATAATATTATAAAGAAATTAAAATTAAAAATATATATATTTTATATTTACTTTTGTTGCTTCGTAAATAAAATTAAATCCAGGTTTTTCATATTTTATATTAAATTTGAATACACCATGTTTTTCAGGAACCTAATTTTGTAAAATAATAATTTTATTAATAAAAAAAAATGAATTTTATTTTCATACTTAAAATTTTGCTTTATAAAGTGCTGTATTTTAAACATTTTTCAAAGGCATTCTAACATAAGGATCCAACATAATAAATTCGACTGTAAGATCATCTGTAACGTAAGGATTCCAAGTATTTGTTAATCTATTCCACATAAATATTTCAATTGAATATTCGCATTTATCTCCTACTCTATATTCAGTAACTTTTTAAGATTATCCATCTAAAGTATTATTTATTTTTCCTACTTTTAATATACCAGTTTCTCCGAAATTCCATAACATTATATTTTACATAAATTCTCTATTTGAAAATTTTCTATATTTTTTTTTTATATAAATTTCAATTAAAAAAATAAATATCTAAATTAAATATAAATAAAAGTACTCTTATTTGTAAAATTCATTACTAAATAATTCTATTGATCCAGTTAAAATAGCTCTTGCATTATTTCTTCCCTTTTTTATATTTTTTATTTTTTAATTTAATTTTTTTTATTTATTACTTAAACTCCTGCAACTAAAATAATGTGATTTCCAGTATTTTCTGTTTCACTTTTTTCATAATTATATGAATAAGTAGTATCTTCTGCTCTTAATATTCCATAAACTTGATTCATTTCATAAGGAGCCATAGAAATACCTGATCCTTTATATAAAATAGGATATTTTAATTAAGGACAAATAACAGGTTAATTAATTATATTATTCGAAAATATTTAATTATTATCAATTTAATCTGCATAATTAAAATGATCTAAAACACTAGAACCCTATTTTTATTTAGATTAATAATTTTATATAATAAATATATCTTTTTAACTATGCTATCTAAATCTACTCCGAATTCATTAAAAATCTATCTTATAGTTTTAGATGCGTCTATATCAGACGCAATAAAAACATTTCTTCCAGAATCGAAAAAATCAATTATTTTATTTTTAGTTAAACCTTTTCCATCTGTTATTATATATATATATTAATAATAAGAATTTTTATATTTAAAACCCATTGGTTAAGTTGCTATTATAATCATTTTATCATAATTGTATTCTCCATATGTCATTAATTTTATTAATGGAGAATTGATTGCTCTAAAATCTAACTCATATCCATTTTCTTTATATTTTTATGATTTAATATAAATATAAAAAATATTCACTTCTTAAATCATTAAAAAAAGTTGAATGGGTATGTTAATATGTAGAACTATCTACTACTACAATCGTCTTTATTTTTTTTATAGTTTATACTGATTATAAAGAATTGATAATAAATAGTAAAATTAAAAATAGTATAAAAGTGTTTTTCATTTATATTATATATTTTTTTATATTTATATATCTTATAAATATTATTTTAGTAAATATTTGACTATTTTTTTTTTTTTTTTTTTAAATCTTAATTCTATATATAATTTATAAAAACAATTTTAATATTAAAAGATAAAAAAAAAAACATTTTTTTAAAAAATAATATTGATTGCATAATTAAAAATATCTTATTATATTATAATTAAAATAAAGGTTAAGAAAAAATAAATCATTATTTTTATTATACTTTTTAATTAATTATTATTAATTAATTAAAGACATTTATTAATAATTTCAAATATATACTATTTTTCAAAAATAAATATTTATAAATTTCTTTTTTTTAAAAAAAAAGAATTTACTAAAATTTTTATAATATTTTAAACAATAAAAGATTTAAAAATTAAAATCAGAATATTAATTAAAGACACAAATATAAAAAAAATATAAATATATTTGATATTAGTTATAAAAATAAAAATAAAAAAAATGTCATATTAATTAAATATATTCTATTTAATTTTAATAATATTCACTTAAAAATATCAAAAAATATTACAAGCATCTTAAGGATTACCACCAATATTATTATTATTATTGCTATTAGAATTTTATTATGAATTTGACTATTATGTAAAAAGATTAAAAGGACTTTCACCTCCAAAAGCATTAAGTAAAGGGGCAGGAGGTTGACCATATTCTTGCATTTCTTCGAATTTTTCAATCATTTTATCTTTATTATTTGGCTCATTTTTTACAATTTCAAGAATTTAGTTTATACATTTTGCTTATTTTTCATATCTATTATATTCTTCTTGACTTATTTTATCTTTATTATCTTTTAAAAATTCTGCGTATTTAGCTTATGAATCAATCAAAGGTTCTTCTAAAACATCTTTGTCCATAAATTCTTATAATAAATGATTTGCTAATTCATCAAATTACGGATTATTTTCAAAATTACTAAACATATCGCCTATATTATTTGGATTAAATTAAGTATTGCCTTAATTACTATTTGATTATTCTTATTAATTATTAGTTTAAGTTGATTGTTATCCGATATCACTCATTAAATTTTACATCATTTTACCTAATTAATCTAAACCTTATTATGGATTTCCTGTTTAAATATTTTTTAAAAAGTCATCATATTCTTTTTGTAATTATGGATCTATATCTTAGTCATCTTCATTTAATTTTTATAAATATATTATAAAAATATATAATTTTTAACCTTATAAACTTTTTTCATCATGAGTAACATTTAATTATTCATTATCAAATCCATTCAATGCATTATCTAAATCATCAATTATATTAGCATCTTTATCATTTAAGGGTATATTTTATATATTTTAGTCATTAAATTCTTAATAATTATGATTATGTTCAAAATTTTATTAATTCATTTTTAAATTAAATATTATATTATTTTTTATAATTTTATATTAAGATAGATTTTAGTTTTATAAAATTATATAGTATTAAAATAATAGCTTTTTTATATGAAAAAAAAATAAAAAATTTAAAGTAAAAATATATATATAATAAATGTTAAAAATTATAATAATATAAATAAAAAATAATTAAATAAATAAAATATTATTAAAGATATGAGTTAAATATAAGATTTATATAATAAATAAAATTTATATTTTAAATAATAATGAAATTATTAAAAATATGAAAAAAATAAAAAAATTTAAATATTTTAATAAATAAATAAATAATTAAATAAATAAATAAATAAATTAATTAATTAATATAAAAATGAATTTATAAATAAATAAAATAATATATTTTTACCATATTAATACTTAATAAATAAGTTAAATTTCTTAATATAAAAAATATATTTACTTTTTTAAAAAAAAATATACAAAAAATCAAATTTTTTTTTTATTTTTTATTTTATATAAAAATGTAAAGATTATCTTTTATAATAATTAATTATAAGTTAATTAGGTATCTAATTAATAATCTCCAGACGACGTCGTTATTTGTGCTGCTGTCAGAACTCCATTAACTAAAGCTAATAGAGGTTTATTAAAAGATACAGCTCCTGAATTAATGTTAAAACCCGTTTTTGAGGATTTATTAAGAAGAACAAATTTAAATCCTTCTTTAGTTGAAGATATTACTGTTGGAAATGTGTTATAAATTGGTTCTGGTGAATTTTAAGCAAGAATCGCATCTTTTTTAGCCGGATTTCCTTATACTACATCGGTTGTTGCTATAAACAGATTATGTAGTTCTGGTTTAGAAGCATGTGCTATAATTGCATCTAAGATTAAATTAGGTTCTATTGATATTGGTATAGGCGCTGGAGTAGAAAATATGTCTATGTACGACATGAATAAAAGTGTAGATCCTGAAAAACTATCAGATGCAGTCTTTGAACATGAATAAGCAAGAAATTGTCTGATTCCTATGGGTGTTACTTCTGAAAATGTTGCCGAAAAATACAATGTTTCTAAACTAGATTAAGATAAATTGGCTGTTGATTCTCACCGTAAAGCCGCTTTTGCCTAAGAACAAGGTCTTTTTGACTCCGAAATAGTTTCATTTACAGTCACAGTTAAAGATAAAGACGGAAACGAAAAATAAGTTGTTGTTAATAAAGATGATGGTATAAGAAAAGAAACAACAGTCTAAAGTTTATAAAAACTAAAACCTGCATTTAAGAAAGATGGGTCTACAACTGCTGGTAATGCCTCTTAAGTAACTGAAGGTGCAGCTGGTGTACTTTTAGCAAGAAGATCAGTCGCATAAAAATTAGGTTTACCAATTCTTGCTAAATTTGTTACTTATTCTGTTTCTGGAGTTCCTCCTGAAATTATGGGTATTTATAAAAATTATATTTATTAATTATTTTATTATATTTTTAGGTGTTGGCCCTGCCTTCGCTATTCCTGAAGCTTTGAAAAAAGCCGGATTAAAAACTACTGATATCGATATTTATGAAATTAATGAAGCTTTCGCAAGTTAAGCTTTATATTGTTGTTAAAAATTAGGATTAGATATGAAAAAAGTTAATCCTAAAGGAGGTGCTATTGCATTAGGCCATCCTTTAGGATGCACAGGAGCTAGATAAATTGCTACTCTAATTCCTGAATTGAAAAGATAAAAAGCAAAATATGGTGTTGTTTCTATGTGTATTGGATCTGGTATGGGAGCTGCTGCAGTTATTTAAAATGAATAAAATTGAATAATTTTTTTTTTATATTAAATTTGGATATTATTTTTTTTTTATTTTTTATTTTTTATTTTTTTTTTCTTTATTTTTTAAAAACAAATTACTTATGTTTTAATTTATTGTTAATACCTTATTTTTAAATTAAATAGATTGTCATTTATTTTTTATTTAGAATAAGATAATTTTCGCTTATAATAAAATTTTAATTATATTTATTAAAAATTATAATACTTTAAAAATATTCGAAGAAAAAAAAATATAATTTTAAAACCATGTTTTAATAGTTTAATAGTTTTTTATCAAATATTAAGTCTACTATGTTTTATAATTTTAATACAATTATATCATACAATTTTAAAGTTTTATTCCATTAATCAATAATAACATTATTAATACCCAAAATAATATAATTATTCTTTTATTATAAATTTTAATATTAATTAAAAGTTTCTATAATAATTTTATTAAATCTAAATAAGTAAATAAGTTTAGAAGTGATATAATATTTATAATTTCATTATTAAAATATTTATAATAAAAAAAATATTACTAGCTTTATTTTTATTGAATTATTGTTTCTATTTTTATCAATAATTTAATATAATAATCTTAAGTTTTATATTACATTTATATAAAAATTTCTGTTCCAAATATTTTTATAAATCTATATAAGCAAATTTTTTATTTTTTAATATATGATTTCAATTAATTTATAATAGAAAACTAAATTAATTAAATATATAAAAGCTAAAGAAGTAATATAAAAATGTAAGAAAACCAGGATTTTTCTTTCTAATGGTATTTTTTAAATAACGATTAATAATTTTAATAGTACTCAGACGAATTATAATAACAACTTGAACACTTTTATTAAATTTATATACAAGATTAAATAGAATAGAAATAAATTACAAACATAAAATTAGGAAATATAAATTATATAATAGATTTTAATAAATTTTTACAGATAAATACAAAAACAAGATTTTAGCGACCGATTTAAAGGATAGGATAAAATAATATATAAAAGTAAAAAATAACTTGGACTTATTTATCCAATGAAGAAGGATATTAGTTTTATGATTAAAATCATACTAATAAATTGGAAGAGAATTACTAAGAATATTTAAAAAATAAAAGCTTGAATTAAATATAAATATATATTTAAAACAAAAAGTACATAATAGATTTTAAAAATATGATACAAATTAATGCATAAACAAAATATAAACGAATAATTAAAAGAATTGAAATATATTGATTTATAAATCTATTTTTTAAAAAATAAATATTATAATTAGTTTTAAGATTTTAAGAAATATTTTTTTAAATTATAATAACTTATTTTTTTATATTACATTATATTTATAAATTTTCATATATTTAATATTATAAGTTACAAAAAAGTTTAATAATTTAGTTTATGATTTAATAATAATTTTCTTAATTCTTATAAATTAACATGATCATTATCTTATTATATAAATCTTAATGCTATAAAGTTTTATTCTAGTAAATCAAATATTAATACTCTTCCCTTTTATTTTAAAGTTTCGTCAAATTTGCTACAAATAAATCTAGTAATTGCTATAAATTCATTTTATTTCATAGATATTTATTCAGTTATACTATAAAACTAAGTATGTTTTGCATTTTAAATTTATAATAAAATACAATTTTTTTAAAAAAAATTACTCTTATAATAAAATTTATAGTTTCTATGGGGTTATAATTTTAATCAATAACGATTTTATTAAATAAATAAAATTAAGGCCAAAATATTTAGGAAAAGTCTTCATGCGGGTTAATACCAATTGTGAGCAATATTCTAGTCATTATTTCTTATTTATTTTTACTTAAAATATCTATATAATGATTTTTAAAAACTTTAAAAATTATAAAGTTATCATCTTTTTAATCTAAAAAAAATGTAATAATTACAAATAAAACAACGATTTTTACTTTTTAATTTTTTAATTTCTAAAGCTCGATCTGAATTTTTTCTCCTTCTTTTTTAAATTCAATTTAATTTATTTTAAAAAATCAGCCTAATAAATAAGTGCATCTTAAGAAAGTTTACATAATTAAACGAAAACTTACAATATAAGATTATTCGGTATTTTTTATATACCAAAAGAACAATTATTTTTGAACTTCATATTGTTCAAAATATCATTAATTCTAATATTGTTGTTTGAAACTATAATATCTTCTTCTGTAAATTAACTATTTTAAATTTATTAACTATGTCTAGTAATCCCTGTTTAAGTATATTTAAATACTTTCTAAAATTATTAAGTTCTACTAAACTTCTATTTATTATCCATTAAATTCATATTTTTAAAAGCGCTAATTTATTTAGTTAAGGTTTTTGATTTTTCCAAATTAAAAAGCTAATTTTTTTCATGAAATTAATTTTAATTTATTTATGGGGATAAATTTATGTAATTTTGACTTATTTTACTATATTAGTTTAGGTTTTGTGTATCTCTTAAGTTTATACTGTTTTCCTATATACTGGTTTATTATATTTAATAAGTTAGTTTTTTTTACTCTTTTATTAAAATGTATGCCTGTTGCTAGTCTATTTTGGATAAATTATTCATATTAAGTTTTAACATAGGGTTTATATTTATATTTATAATTCTTATATTATTCAGTTTCAATATATTTTATAAACTCTTATGATTATTTTCCTTACTTTTACTTTTTTTTATAATTTTTTTTATATTTATTCATTTTTTTTTTAGATAAATATTATTTTTAACTTCTAAATAATTAGATTTTTCTATCTAATGAATACTTTTTAAAGAATTCGCAAATTGAAATTGGGCTTTACCAAAAACTCTTTCTTCCCTTTTTAATTCTTCTAATTGTTATAATTTTTTTTCCTAATGTATTTTAGATCTATTTTTTTTTTAGCTAAATCTTACTTTACATATCTAGGCATGTATACTTCAATTTACTATTAATCAAATGAATTTCCTAATTAGTTCATAAAATAGTTAACATTATTTTCTAATTCATTAATGTATTATTTATTATTCTTATATAAAGGTACTTTTAATTATACTTTTTAATTTTTATCTAAATCATCAAAAAAATCATCAATTTAAACTATTTCTAGCATTTTTTAAAAATATTTATTTCCTAATCTCTATTAATTAGTTATTTTAATATATTTATTTAATTAAAAGATAAAGATAAAAATAAGTTTTGTTTTTTATATAAATAAAATATTTTTTTTTAAGAAAATGATAATAAATCTAATTGTACTTATATTATTTATAATAATGTTTTGTTTCAACTAATATAATAATATATTTTTTTTTCTATCAAATAAATTAAAAAATTTTTTTTTTAATTATTGTAAATTTTTAAAAAAATAAAAAATATTTTTTTTTATTAAATGTTTATTTAATTAATAATATAATCAAAAATAAAACTAATTTTAAAAATTAAAAATATAATTTAAAAATATGTCCTTAAATTTATACAATAAAAAAATATCAAAACTTGAAGAGGTACTTTTTAAAAATAATTAACTTATATTTATATTTTTAAAATATTAAAAAAATATTACAATTTTTTAGAAAAATAATTCATTTAAAAAAAACTTATCAGAATTAAAAAAGTCAATAAGCTTTATGAATAAAAAATAATACTAAAAATATAAAGAAATATTATTTAGCAAAACATAAGAGAAACAAACTTATTAATAATCATCATAAAATTAATATCAAAAATAATAATAATAATAATAATAATAATAATAATAATAATAATAATAATAATAATAATAATTTTAAGAAAATTTACAACAATAATAATAACAGCAATAATATTAAAAAATAATTTAAAGTCAAAAGAATAATTAATAATTATAATAAGAAACTCATTCTTAAATAAGAAGTATTATTTAATAAGAATTAATCGATAGTAGTATGAAATATAATAATTAATATAATTAGTAAGATTAATTAAAGAATGAAAGTATATATGTTCCTGAAGATACATAGACTTAAATTTAATCAATATTAACAATTAAAAAATTATAATAATAAAAAAGTTAATTAGAGCATGAAATTAATTTATTAAATTAAAAGGCAAATAGATTGGAATATAGTGGAGGTTTAAATAAAAATTTGATGAAAAATTATAAAGATATTGATTTATTATTATTAGGAACTAGTAGAAAATATTAAAAGAATTATACGATTAATGAAGATAATTTAGAAATTGAGTGGAGATAATTATAAAAAAAACTCAGTAAATATTAAAATAAAGAATTTAATGAAAAACCATAAAAATCTTAAGTATAATCAAAAAATTTAGCAAAGCGAAATTGTAATCAAGTTATTCCTTAGAATAATTTATTTATATAAAAAAATAATTCAGAAGAGTTAAGTAAACATTCTTATCGAGAATCTCAAATAATTAAAAAAGATAATTTGAACTTTTAAAAAATTCAAGATAATTTATAATAAATTAATATTAAAAAATCTTGTGATTTGTAAGACAAATAATAAAGTTATATCTATTAAGAAAAGTGTTCATATTAATTTAGCAAATAATAAATAGATAAATTAAGTAAATAAATAGATTAATTAATAATATTTAGTAATCAAAGCAAATAATAGTATTATTTTTAAAAAGAAAATTATTGAAAAATATATATTTTTATTTTATTATTATATATATTTTAGTTTACAAAAAATTTCCTATAAAAATTTAAAAATTTAATTAATTTTATTGCTTTATTTTATGTTAATTTTTTTATTTTTTTTATTAAAAATATTATATTTCTTTTTAATATTATTTTTTTTAAAAAATATTATTTTATTTTATATAAATTTATATTATTTTTCTTTTTAAAAATTTTTATTTATATGAATGTTTTTCTAATATATATTTATGATTTTTAATTTACTAATTTTATTTTTAATAATATAAATTTTATTTTATTAATTTTTTTTTCTTTTTTTTAAATGTATTTATTTAAATATATTCCTAAATAAAATAATAATTAATTAATAAAAGTTTATAAATATAAAAAAAATAAAAGTATATTAATACTATGTCTTATCCAGCAAGCAACGAAATGTCAAATAACAAAGTAAATTTACCTAATTCATTAGAAGTAAAATCTGAATTTATTACAATTTAAACAAAAGATGAGGATAAAACATTTACATTAACAAAGCAAGATGAAAAAAAAGATAATATCTAAAAAATTTAAAAAGAAAAAAATATTTAAAATGAACCTGACAATTTGAAAATTGATAGGAGATTTTAATTCCAAAAAGAAGAAAATTTTAAAAAAAGTACAAATTGTTTTGTATGTAATATTACATTTAAAATAATGAGTGAAAAGTCCTATAATTGCCTTTTATGTGCAAACTCAGTATGTGGCCCTTGTTCTAGTAAAAGAGTTAATGATTAAAGAGTTTGTGATATATGTTTTTTAAAGTTTAAAAATATAAAAGGAGAGAAAAGAAAAAAAAGATTATTAGAAACAATAAATGATTATTTAAAAATTAAAAAATAACATAAAATAATTATAATAATAAATATAAACAGTTGAAACAAAAAGCAAAAAATGAACTAGGAAAGTAAATTGTTAAAACAAGAAAACATTTCAAAATTAAATTAATTATAAGAAGAAATATAATAAAAAAATTTATAATAGTAAAATCTAAAAATGAAATTATAAAAAAACGAAAAAGAATTGAAAGATAAAAAAATCGAAAAAATACAAATTATAGATAACTTAGAAGAAATATAATAAAAAACATTAATTTAATAATAAAATAAAATTGAAAACCTATAAAATGTACTTTAAAAGAAAAACACTTAACTTTAAGAAGTCTTAGCTTACAAATAATAAATTAGCACATCTGATTCTATTATACGTTTACCTAATTATGTTAGAGCAGTTAGAAATGATTGCGAAAATATCTTAGAAGCTATTATATTTTTAGATAGATAAGAAAAAAAAACTCTGTTGCTAGTTCTTAATTATAAGATAGCAAAATTGATAAAAAACTTACTACTAGGTAAGATTTTACATCTGGACAAGAACATTATGCTTAGAGTTATATCGTTCAAGATTAAGAATAAAGTGAGAAATTTAAGCATGATATGAGTGAAAAATATACTATGGAAAAAAATAAAAAAGGAGGCTGTTTTTGTGGTTGATTATAATATTTAATTAATAAATAAAAGTATTTTTATTTATGAAAAAACATAAATATTTAAATTAATTTTTTTAAAAAAAATACCAAAAATAATATTTTTTATTATTGAAAAAAAAAAGTATTATTATTTGTAATAATACATAAAGAAAGTAAATATATTTTTTTTAAATTAATCATTTTTATAAATTAAAAAAATAAAATTATGTAAATATTATTTATTTCTATTTAATAAAATACATAAAAAATTATCAAGAAAAAAAAAGAATGAATGCATTTAATCCAATATTAACTTAAATCCCGCCAAAAAGAAATATAGAAGAAGACGAAGGATACGTAATTCCACAATTTAATGCTCCAAATTTCAATATTGCACCTCAAATATAACCATAAGCTTAATTTTAATCTCAAAATACAAACCCAATTTAATAGCAAAACATAAACTATTAAAAAAATCCAACAATTCAAAAAAATAATAATACAGTAAAAGTATATAACATATACTATGAAGCAACCGATTAATAAATACTGGATTACATGCAAACAGCAGGGCCTATAATTTAAAAGAAAATCGAAAAAGATGACAAAAAGAAAGTGACAGGAATATTTACTTTCGCAGATAATGAAAGTGCTCTTTGTGCAGTCCGAAATTTGGATAAATTAAAAATTTGTAACAGCGACAGAGAGTTAAAAGTTAAACTAGAAACTGTAGGGGGTAACGAGGAATCTAATAATGAAGATTTTATTGATTTTGATGAATTGGAAAAGGCTTAAAATTTAGAAGAAGCTGTAAAAATGATTGATTTTAATTTAAAAATCGAAATAATGAATATGGTTAAAAAAATGGGGGAAAAAAATGAAAAATATCTATATAACTTATTAATTGCGAAACCTAAATTATGTGAAATTTTTCTTTAAATTCAATAAGAAGTCCTTTAGAAATAATAACCAAATTTTTTGTTGATAAAAGGAGGTAATAATGAAGTTTAGTAAAAAAATATCGCTGCTAATGATAAATAAGGAATTTAATAAAATAAAGGTTAGTAATTAAATTAAATTTAATAGGCTTAATTTAATATTCCCTAATAATTTAATAATAAATAAAATATAAATTTATATTAATTTTAGAATCAAACTAATTAAAAGTTTATGTGAAATAACTTCTCTTTTTTTTTTTACTTAAAAATTAAATATATAAATAGAAATAAATCTTTTTTATTAAAAAAAAATAAAAAATTAAATAATTCTTTATTTTTACTTTTATTTTTAGTTTATTTTTTTAAAACTAACAAATGATTAAAAGTTATTTTTTTTTTAAAAAAAAATAATACATTCATTAATATTTAATATTAAAAAAAAAACTTCTTTTATATTAATTTATCTTTTTATTTAAAACAAAAAAATGTTTAATTTCCATAATGAAAGCGGTGAATTATTTTGCCGAATAATAGACAAAATCGAAAAGAAGTTATTTATTAGAAAATTATAATAATATGTAAAGTCCTAAGCCATACTAAATCAAAGCTCCACTGTATAAAAAAATCCTCTTCAATAATACAATAGTATTCTCTAAACTCAAAATTCCATCCATTATTCAAACGAAACAAAATCACACTACTAATAAAAAGAAGAAATAAATAGAAATTCCCAACAAGAAGCAAAATAAAATTCTATTTTAAAAAGCATAAATTAATAAAGAAAGTCAATTTAAAATTAAGAAAATATATAAATTCATAAAGTTTAGACATTAATATAAGATTTTAAAGATTAAAAAGAAATAAACTACCACAACAAATAACTATAGGACCATATGAATACGTATTAATTATAACTATAAGAACAATCACAAAGAATATAAAGAACATTAAAAGAAAACTAATAATATCAATATCAATATCAATAATAAAATAAAAAAAAAGAATATAATTAATAAAACATTAATATGAACGTTCAATGCAATGACATAGTATATTTTAAATACTATAGTGATAAATAAAAAGGAATAATTTCCGGTGATGGTATTGCTAATAATAAATTAGAATGCGTATCTATAAAGCAAGGAAAAAAATATGAAGAATAAGACCAAACAAATTTCTAATAGGAAAATGAGCAAAATTTCTCCGAAAAAGAAACATAATACCTTAAAAAAAATGCAGCTTTAATTTTCAGAAAATGTCTTTTCAGAGTTAAATGTGCACCTAAATATACGAATTAAAATCTTTTAATTTTTAAGAAAACTACTCTTAATTAGAAAGATCCTCTTCTTAATAATATGCAAACATTACAAATTGAAGATTTAGAAAAAGCAGCTCAAGAAGAAATTGAGGAAAATTAAAGATTCGCGGAAAGATCTAAAAAATTAAATTTAATTTATGGGTAATAAGTTTAATTAGAACATTTATATTCTGGATGTATTCTTACTATCAATCCTGATGTTTTGGCCTATGAATATTGCTGTAAGGAGGCTAGTTTAGAAGAAACAGCTAATGAATGGTCGAATTTCATCATTAAATCAGCTAATAATTCCAAAAAATTAGGAGAACCGATAATGTATTTAGATTAAATAGCCCTTTTCTGCGCCAAAGACCCGAACTTTGCCATAAATATATCCCAAAATAATGAATTATGCGACTAAAATAAGAATTCTTAATCATCTTTTGACTACGGTTTGGAAGTAAATAGCACAGATAAATCTGCACCTTTAAAAATTTACTAATTCATGGACAGTTAAACTGAAGAAGACCGAAAACTTTAAAAAATAAACTGCACAAGCACCTTAGAATCCGGTGAAGTAGTATATTTAATAAATAAAAGAGTAAAAAGTAAAATATCAGTTATAAAAAAAAATGATTTAAGGCAAAATCTTAAAGAAAAAACAGTTTTTTTCGAATAAGAAAACCAACAAGCTCCTATAGCTTAAAAATAATGTTTTTTCTAAATAACTGACTTTACATCAAATATAAATAATTAATATAAAGTAAGTATGGATAAAATAGTCAAAAATGATACATTAGATGACTAAATATAATCTCTTTGGGAAATTCAAAAAATTAAAAGTTTTGATAGTACTTTAGCTGAATATTCTGATTTTTATAGAATTAAAAATGTTTGGACAGGACTTTATTTATGTATCTAAAATAATGAAATTTCCCTTTGTCATGATGGCAATTTAGAATAGGCTTGGTTTTAGTTCTAACCGAAAAAAAGCGTACTTTTGACATTTTAAAATGTCTAGTTTTAATAAAAAGTTAAGATATAGTAAGAAGTTTAGGGTTAGGTGTATTTTGTGAAATGTGGAGGGTCTCATAGTTAGGGTTTGGTTTAAATTATTAATAAATATTAACTTAATAAGGAAAAAAGAGATTCGGCAAAATTTGAAATTATTTAAGGCAAATAAAAATTAATGTAATATTATTTTATTATATATATATTTATTTGTTTATTTATTAAAAAAATAAAGATAATTAGCTGATAAAGTATCTAGTTTATTTCCTTAATTAATGAATTTTTATTTATTTTTATAAGATTGGGGTATAGAACGTAAAAGAGATAAATATATATATACTTATTAATAAGCATTTGATAAATAAAAAGAACTTTATAATTATAAATAATAATTAATTTAAAGTATTTAACATTTAGAAAACTTCCTTTAATAAGATTCTAAATTAAAAATGAAATAAAAAATATTACTAGACGCCGGAATAATAAATATTCTCCTATACATCGTAAAGTTAATTCATTTTAAAATCTATGGTCAAAAAAAAGAAGAAACCGAATAATATAATATTCCTGGTTTAGGCATTTAAATATAAGAAATTCCTGAAAAAACAGCATAAAAAATCGCATAATTAAAATTACAAAACATTGTCACATCTTTATATAATGTAAACTAAATTATAATATATGCATAATATATATATATATATATATATATATATATATATATATATATTAAAATAAAAAGATTTTAAATTTATGTATAAGAGGAAACTAAGACTGTGCTTCATATTTATTAAATTTTCAAGATGATAATTTCCTAATCGATTAATTAAAATACCATAAAGAACCAGTAACCTTATTATTAAAAGAGGCCGTTAGATATGCCGAATCTGGTACAAACGAGATTAATGTATTAAAATGGATACAAAAACTCCAGACCGTAAGTGAAGAAAACATACAAGAGTAAACTTTTATTATTGAATTATTAAGTTTAAGTATTACAGATCCTTTAGAAAATTCAATTAGTTAATTCCAACATGCTTGTAGGAAGTAACTTTTTAGATAAAAAAAATTTAAAAATGAGGACTATGAAGAAGAAGGAATCGACTAAATTACAAATCCAATAGAAATCTCTCTTTTTAACTTTAGCATAGAAGATAAAAAACCAATAATTATATTTAACTGTAAAAATTCATAGTAAGACTTTTTAGAGAAAAACTAAAATTTGTGCAATTTATATAAAAAAGCCAGAACTAAAAATATTGATTTTTACGACAATGAAAAAAACAATAAAACCAATTAAAGTTATTACAATTATTTTGATTTGAGATTTCTGAATAAATTCGCTGAAATTTAATTGGCTAATAGAAATTCTAATATAGTCGAAAAATATGAATACTATGCGCTAGAAGTATTAAACTTATATAGTCAATTAAGCAAAAATAGAAATTATAAAATTATTTAATACCTCAATTCTATAGGATTAACTAAAGAATTTGTCTATTTAGCTTTATAGGAAAAGTTTATTGATAAAAACAACATTTTATATTATAAAGCCTTCCTGAATATTTACTAGAGTCTTGTTTTAGATTGCTAGCCTTTAATAAAAATTTCTGAATATTCAAACTATTGTTTTTTATCATAGGATTTAAGAAAATTTAACTTCTAAAATGATCCTACATACAAACTTTTTAGAGAAATAGTTGTAGAGTAAAAAATAAAGACGTAAATTAATAAATATTTAAAAAATGAAAAAAATGGAATAGAATTTAAAGAATATAATATGTTAGAAATTTATGCTAATTGTGTTGTTGGTGATGAAAATTAAAATAATATGTATTCTTTAAATATTTAAGAAGATTTTTTATCAAATACGGAAGAAATTCCTTAAAGATTAAATATTGATTATTTTCTCAATTAAAAAAAAATTTCTGATGTAAACTATAATAAATATAATAAGCATTTTTATAATATATATATAAGAAAAAATTAAATAAAAAATAAAAATTTAATATATAAATAAATTACATTTATATATATATATATATATATATAAATATATATATTAATTATTTTTTTAGTCTTTTACTTTACCTTAATTGTCTGAATACATGATGGATATTTTCTTGTCAATGTTAAAAATAATTAAATTTAGAATTGATCTTGGATACAATACATAACAATAAAATAATTAGATTTTATAAAAAGTATTTTTTTTTATTTTTTATTTTTTTATTTATAATATATTTTATTTATTAATTTTATTTACTCATTTTATTAATTTAAGATTCCAAATTTGTTTTTTGCATACATTGATTTTAAATCAAATAATAATTTATAAAATTTCCTTCCACTTTCAAATTTAAAATAATAAAATTTTAAAAATTACTAATAAAATTGGATTTATAAATTTATTTTTTACCATTTAAAGCAATTCAATTAAGAACTTTTAATAATAAAAGTAAAAAAAATAAATTTTTAAACTATATATATTTCTTTTTTTATTTTTTTAAAAAGGTGTATACAGAAACTATATAAATAATTAGTATTTTAAATAAATTAAAAATAAGTTTAAAAGTAATATAATTTGTATTAACAAATGATATTTAAAAAAATGGGTAAATTTTAGAGTTAAACGAATAACAAGTTAATAATAATGAAAACAATCAATAAAAAAGTTTAAATTTATCAACTTTAATATTTAAATAGATAGAATATATAGAAAAAGGATAAAGATTAGAAGAACCAATGTTAAAATTATTAATAGAAAGTTTTAATTATAATAAATAAGTAGAAAGCATAGTAAAAAAAATTTAAATAATTGAAAACGAATACGAGTTAGATATATTTAAAAAAATAAACGGACTAAGTGAAAATCATGCATTAAAATCGCCTAAAGAAATAGAATATTTAACAAAAAAAACAATTTAATTTATGAAATTATACTAATAAAATAATGGTAATTTAGATAATGTTTAAATAAAATTACTAAATAATTATAAGGAATCTTTTTCTTAATTATAATAATGTATTGAAAGTATTAATGGTATATTTAAGTTATAAGAAGAAGACGAGTTTTAGAAATAAAATTATTAAAAAAATAAAAATGCGCTTTAAAATATTATCAGGAATTCTAATATTTAAAAATATTTAATTGATCTTATTAATAATTGTGTTTTTGAAGATTCTTATTTTTTAGATTTTTTTAGAGTATTTTTTTATTTTTTTTAATTAATTTTATTTATATAAAATTTCTTAAATTAATAGAAATTAGTTTGCTTTTTAGAAACATATATAGAAAATAATAGTATAAATAAATTAGAATTAATTGATAATTTGGAAAATATTCTTAAATTAGCTTATATTCCCTATGATGATTTCATTTAATAAGCTAAATTTGATAAATAAATTTAAAAATATAAAAAATATTAACCTTTAAAAGTATATATAAATTCAAATATACAAATTATTATGTATATTTTTTTTTATGTAGATTTCGAAATTATGTATAAGTCTTTTAAAAGACATAAAATGTGATTTTAATTTAATATCTGATAAAATTGATATTATTTATAATTAAATTACTAATAATTCTCCTTTTATTGAACATAATATTGAAAATTCATAAAGTGCATTCTTATAATAAATAAATAATGCACAAAACATTAAAAATAAATTGTATAAATTAAGTATTAACTTTATTAATTGTTAAGCTATTATTTAATTCTTTAAAATACTAAAATCTTTGACTTTTAAATAATACAATATATTCATCACATCTAATTAAATGAAAATAATTAATTTCCTTCTTAAAAACAGCTTAATGTAAGATATTTTAAAACCTATAAGTGTCTAATATATAATGGAATTTTAAGAAAGAATTTATTCTTAAGAAAAAGATAAAATGAAAATTAAATTACATTGCTAATGTATATTTTTTTATTATATATATATAAAATATATATATATATATATATATATATATATATAAATATTTTAAAATAGCTATTTCTTTACTTACCATGTGCTGTAAATATTATAGGTTAGGAATTTAAGAAGTATAAAGATTTATGATGTATAACGTTTTAAAAAGTGTTATTTTATATGAAAAAACACCTTATATTATAAAAAGAATTTATTTACGATGTTTATTTGAAGCTTATATAAATAAAGTAAATAAACAAAAAAATATATAAAATAAAATTAAAAAAAATAGATATATGATATTGAAACAAATATATCAAATGAGACTATATCTGCTTAAGATTTAAATGAAATTTTAATTAATGATATAATTCCTTAATTAGATAAAACAAATATATTTAGATACATGGATGGCCTAATAAAAATAAAGAGATGTGAAAACACAGACTAATTATATGATGTAAGAAAACAATTAATTAAAGAAAAAATTTTATATTTTGAAAAAAATCTCGAATTTTAAACTCTTATTCATTACGAGAAAAGTATGTTAAATGTTGATTATTTTAAAAGAAAATATAATTGTATATTGGATGATTGCTATGAGTTTTGGAAATATCTATTTAAAGATGGAGTTGCCCATTTTATTATTGACTGTTATGACGAATCTTTAGATGATTTAGATAAATAAAACCCCTAAGTAAGTTCATTAGATGATAACTTTTCAATAATTAAATCTAGAGTGACTTATTTGAGAGAAACTTTTGATATTCTCGAAAAAGATTTCAGAGTTAGAAAAGAAGATATTAATTTAGATTACTATAAATAATTTCTTAAATAATTAGAAGAAATTATTCCTTCTAAATAAATTATAAAAGTTGGATATTAATTTATTATTAAAAAGCAACCTGGTATAATAGGATAAAAAGTAATTTTTTTATTTAATTTTTTCTAAATAAAATATATAAAGACAAATATTTCAACTTATAGAATTAACGAAAATATAAATGAAGAAAAAATAATTTAAAAAATAGAAGAAGATTCATAATTATAAAGATTATTAAAAATAATGCTTTTAAGAAAAAGAATTACAATTTAAGATTTAATATAAATGTTTATAACATATTTAGAATAATACCCTACTATAGAAAAGGCACTTATTGAAGTTTTAAATATTTAAAAAGTTTATTTCCTACCTAACTAAGTTATTGAATTTGTAGAAAGTATAATTCCTTAAAATAATCAAGGATAATAAAAAACAGAATAAAATAAAGTTTAATTAATAATAAGGCACTTATTAATGCTTGTAAGTAGAAAATCAAACAAAGAAAATATAGAAGAAAGTTAAAATAAAAATGTAATAGAAGAAAAATTAGTACTTTAGAAATAAAAAGACAATAATTAAAAATTAATAGACATAGAGTTATTAAGAAAAACATTCTTCTAATAAAAGGAAAAAGCAATAGAAAAAAACTTGAAGCTTTAAGATACGAACTAATGGATGAAGAAAATGATGATTATAATATGAAAACAATATAAATTCATGAAAGAAATAATATAGATTATCCTATTATGTAGATTATTAAAAATTTTAAACATGATTTTTAAATTTATTCATCTGAAGATAAATTTATTCATTTTATTTAGAATATAAAAAAAATTCTTAGAAATAATGGTTTCTATTTAGTGAAAATAATTAGAATTGTACTTGAATTAACTTAACTTTCAGAAGATTCTATTTAAAATTTAACTAATGATGATTAACCTGAATTATAAAAAAGAGCTTAGCAAAGATTAAGGAATTATAAACTATATTAATCATAGGTTTATTTTTATTTTATTTTTTTCATTTATTTTTTTAAAATAAAAAACAAAAAAAAGGTCTCTAAAGAAAATTTATTTATTGAAGCTTTTAAATTATTAAAACCTGAAAATTCATTTGATTATGTTTTTGAAGGTTTACATTGTTTAATTTAAATGCTTGATTAGGGAAATGTTTAATGCTAAAATTAAAATTTATTAATATTTCAAAACAAACAAGGATAGCTATTTATTTTTTATTGGATATTTAAGATATTTTTTTTCTAAAGATGTTATTGTAGAGTTAAATTTAATATAAAATAAAGAAAATGAAGTAAAAATAAAAATATATATCATAAAATATACTATTATAATTTTTTTTGAAAAAAAAGATCAATAAAAAATGTATATCAGAATATGAAATCATATGTGAAAGGTTATTAAAATTATTATAATTAATGTGTGAAAATGTAAATACGAATTTCCAGAAATTCTTCAGAAAATAAACTGATGATAAAATATATATGATTTCAAATTATAATCTTGTATTAGAAGTTTCTAATTTACTATGTCTTTTTCTTGAAGATGAATAGCTTTCTATCATAAGAAAATCAAATCTTATTATGTAATTTTTAGATACCTTAAATGAATTTTCAACTGGAGAAAATGATAATTAGAAAATAATATGTATTTTTTAAATAATAATAATAATATATATATTTAATTATAGCTAATTTTTGAAATTTTATTTATAAATAAAAATAGGCCAAAATAAGAGACTTTTTAATTATATAAATGATAAAATATTCAAAAATTAAATAAGCTTTAAAATAAAAGGTCGAGAAGTGGCTCAAGACGATAGTTAATCTTATTAATTAAATTTACTTTCGAGTTCATATAAATTCTTACTAACAATTATTGTAGGGAATAACGATAAAGATGCTTTGAAATATATCCTAGAATAAATAGACCTTAATTAATAAATAAGTTTACTAAAATAAATATATGATGAGAGAATAAAACCCAAAAAAAGATAAATCATTTTAGAAGACGAATGTTACCATGACCAAAAATAAGTTTATAAAAACAATAAAATATACTGCAATGAAAGGTATTGTCAATATGGAAAAGTTATTGACGAAGATAAATTAATAATTGAAATCGGATTTAATATATTTATAATTTTTAGTTATTTAAAAGAAAGCTTCCCAGAAAAAAGAGACTTACAAATATTCCTTGATGAAGACATAGAAGAAGACGAAAATCAAAAAGATGATGAAGGAAAATAAAAATAATTTGTAAAAAAAGAAGAAAAATTAAATAAATAAATTTATAATGAGAAAAAATATTAAACTTTATTATAAAAAAATTTTTCTTAAAGAAATTCTTTTTTAACTTTACAATAAAATAAAAATGAGGATTATTAAAAAAATAAAACTACTGCTACAACTGCTAGAAGTTTTCTAAAAAATGGACTTTCTCATATATTAAAATAATAAATGCAATACTTGGATTAAAAGGCATAAAATAATTAGGCACTTAAATTAAACTTATCTTCTTTTGTTAATAATACTATTGGTAATTTTATTATTTTATTTTTTTATTATTTTTATTAGATGATAAAAATAAATAAGAAGAAAGTCAATTTAAACGAACTGATGAGTTCTTTAAATTTTATATTAGATTTTTAGGTTGTACTGAAATTGTTAATTAAAAAAATGAAATTGTTAAAGTTTATTTTAAAAAACCTTTCATTAGTGCTTTCTTATCAGAAAATGTTAAAAACCATTTAGTATAAAAAAGAATATATAAATTTCGCTTTATTTATTTATATTTTATAACAAAAAAAAAAGATATTTTAATCATCACGTGAAACAAATAATGAAAGATTAGAATTTTTATTAAATTATAAAAATTTTTATTAATTATAATTAAATAGAAAATAAGAAATACAAAAATAGAGTGTAAAAAAAATAAAAAATACAAACAATATAAAATAAAAAAATACAAATACAAACAATATAAAATAAAAAATAGAAAATAATATCATTCTTCTGCAACAACTGGCGTATATTCAAAGACATATCATATTTTTTAGTTATAATAATCACAATAACAGTAATAACAACATACGAAGATAAGAATGATGGCGATGGTATAGTAATTCTACAATGGGTAGACTAATTAAACTAAGTTATAACAATAATCTAACTAATAATAAGTTTTATAGTAGTAATATTTTGCGCATATGAGCGTTATCCGATTTCCATTCATAAATTTGCTCAAGACGAAGCATCTGAAAAGATCGAAATAATAAAAGAAAATGCTGGATTTTTTAAATAGTCAATAATCGATTAATTTATGGTAATTTTCTCTCAAATAAAAAACACATTAACTCCAGCAGTAGCTTCCTAAAATATATTCGTTGGATTAATTTTGGTATGTCTAGATTTCGAAAATGTATATAATTTAGTATATTTAATACTTACTTTTTATGCTTATTTCTAACCTTTAGTTTATTCTTTTATTCTACTTGATATAGTTAAAAGAAGTGAAGATTTATAAAACGTTATTTCCTCTATTACAAAAAACGCAACTAATTTATTAAAATTTGTATGCTTAGGGCTTATTATTTTATATATCTATGGAATTATTGCTTTTTAGAATTTTCCTTAATAATTTGATGAAGAAGCAGGGGCTTATTCTTATAATTTCATTATTGCAATTGCTTCTACTATTAAGGAAGGATTAAAAAGTGGAGGAGGTATGGGTGATGCTTTAAAACCAGTTAGTTATGTAAATGATGGATCTAATATTATATGGCAAAGATATGCGTTTGATTTGAGCTTTTTTGTTATTATTAATATGCTTTTTATTTAAATTATTTTTGGTTTTTTTTTTTATTCTTTTAATTAATTTAATTTATTATTAATAATAATTATTAAAGGTATTATATTAGATACTTTTGGTTAACTTAGAGATAATAGAAATGAACTTTTAGATAAAATTTATAACTATTGCTTTGTTTGTGTATTTTTTTTTTTTTAATTTATAATATGTTTTTATTTTTAGGGATTAAATAGAGATGATATTGATTCTTAAGAAGAAAAAGGATGGTATAATCATATTTATAAATACCATAATTGCTATTAATTACTATATTATTTAATATATATTGAGAAAAAAAATGAAAATAATTGCGATTCATTAGAAAAGTACTGCAAAAAATTAATGGATTTAAAAGATATAAGCTTTTTGCCTATAGAAAGAACATATGAAATAGAATAGAATTAAAAAGCTATTAGTAATGAAAAGGAAGAAATTTGATAATTATGCTTTTATTTTTTTTAATAAATATATAAAGAATTAATAATAATTTAATTATAAAAAATATATATGTATTTTTTTATTTAATATTTTTAAATTATTTATTATTAATGAATAAATTTTAGAATTTTTTTAAAAATATTTATTATGTTTTGTACATTTATTATATATATATTATAATTTTTATTTTTTAACAGAAAAGTGATTATTTTTTTTCATTATAATTTGGTATTTTAAATATGGATTAATAATATTAAAATAATTTTTGTTTAAATAAATATACTTTTGATTAAAATATAAATTTATAGTCTGTTTTATGTAATACTTAATAAGAATATTACAATTAAAGAAGCGATACAAATAAATTAAATAATAAAAATGAAAATAATTTCAAAGATTATAATTATTAAAATAATATAAAAAATTTTAATGAGATTATATATTATGAAACTGAACCTCAAAATTATAATCGCAAAACATGTGTGAGTCCAATTAAAAACTAAGATTATAAATTAAAAATGATATAAATTAATTATTGGATAGAGTGAATATTTTAGAAAGTCAATTTGACTAAGAAAATTTACTTTATAATAAGCCAACAAAAAATACTTAAAAAGAAGACCAATATAATAATAATTATATATCAATTTTCAATGAAATAAATGACGATGATAAATGAAATTCAAATCAATTAATTTAAAAATTAACAAATGAAGTATTTAAATAATTATTTTTATATTATATTTTTAATTTTTTAGGTTTAATATCTAAAATAAGAAAATAATTCTCATGGTTAGATAATCTAATAATTAAAAACACATATTTAAAAACTATAAAAATAATTAAATAGCGATATTTCTACAAATGATAATGAATAAAAAGAGAATTTATAAATAAAAAAATTGGAAGAATAAAATTAACATAATAAATTCAAAATAAATTAACTAAACGAAATAATTGAAGAATAAAATATAAAATAAAGTAAATTAGAATAATAAAATAATGTCTTATCAAATAAAAATATTAAACTAAAATAAATAAAATAATAATTTAAGATTTAAAACTATTAAAAACAATAAAATGATGAAATTTAAATTAGTTTTAAAGATTAGATTGATGAAAAAATTAAGTTATTTATTTAATTTAAAATTAAAAATATAGTTTAGAATAATAAAACTAATAATTAATCCAAAATTAGTTGGATTAATAAAAAAAATTAAAGAATATTAACAAGAAATGGAAATTTTACAAAATAATTATTAAGAAAAATTATAAATAATTTAATAATATACAGAACAAATTAAATAATTAAAAAATGAATTAATTTCTTTAAATAATAAAAATTCTTTGGAATATTAATAAATAGCAATACAATAATATAATCAATAATAAATATTTAATGAATAAATAAATGTAAAGTTAAATGAAATAAACTAACTAAATGAAAATGCAAAAAATATAAAAATTATATATGATAAATAAATTTAAAGTTAAATTTCAGAATTTAATTAAAAAATCGAATAATAAATTGAAATCGAAAAATCATAAAAATTGATTATTAATTAAAAAGTTTAATAAATAGATATTTTAAATGAATAAATATAAGTAAAATATTATTATAATATTTATATTTAATCATTATATTCTGATTTTTTTTTTTAATTTTTTTTTTATTTTTGAAAATTTTTATTCAATATTTATATATTAATATAGAAAATTATTTATTTATACATTTAATAATTTTTATTTATTAAATAGAACTTATTTAATGAAAACAAATCTTTTTAAAATTAAATTAATGAATTAAATAATAATAACTCTTTAAAAATAGAAAATTTATAAAAAAAAATTGATGAATAAAATAAATAAATTACATTTTTAAATGAAAAAATTAATTAAGATCATAGTTTAAAAATAAGTTAACTAACACAAAGCTACTAAAATGAAATATAAATTTAATAAGAAAATAATAAATCTATATTAAGTCAAATCTAGTAATAAAATTAATAACTTTAAATTTTATTTG